ATGAGGCAAACACTCCCACAGTGCTTCAGCCATCACCATCTTGTCAGTAGTCTTGATTATTGACAATTCGTTTTCAACACCTAAAGCATCAGCCAATCATATTTTTGCATTGCCAGGACAACTTATGATTTACATGTATTTGCTCTGGCTATAGGAGCTGTCTGCCACCCTTGGCTTTGCTTCTCACACGTGCATGCACTCCCCTCACTAAATCTGTAGAAAAAGAGAAATTGTTTGCAGTCCAGCAATTAAAAATTTCTAAAAAGTTTTTAGAAACAATGGATAATTCCTTGTGAAACGAGGGTCAAATGCTTTTAATTTTGTCCCAAGGGTAATTTACCAGGCAATGTAAACCTTTTAAGCCTGAGATTCCACAAATATATATTGGAATGTATAAAGTGGCTTTGTGAATCAAACCGAAGGACTCCTTTGGGACCTTAATTTACCAGGCAATGTAAAGCTTTTTTCAGCCTGAAATTCCACAATGTAATAATAATAATAATAATAATAATAATAATAATAATAATAATAATAATAATAATAACAATAATAATAATAATAACTCTGTAGAATCTTTGGAAATCCAGATCTTCCTTTTCCAGGGAGTGGAAAGAGAGAAACTTTACTGATGCTTTTTTACTAACTATAAGCTACATGTATTATTTTGACAAAATTTTAGCTCTTCATGCCAAAACCTACAGTGAAGGTGACAAAAAAGCCAACTCAGCGAAGTGGGGTTAAGCGTAAGAGACAAGACACAGTCAACCAGACAACACCATATGATGATCATTACCCACAGTCAGAGAATCTTGGTGTAAAGAATCGGCTGCGAAGATCATCACGCCTCAGAGGGCAGGTTAGTATTTACATATATAATAATTATTGAACTATGCAAAGAGCCTGTCATTTTTATACAGACAGTCACTTTTGGAAGGGGTCTGACAATCTAAGTGCCAGCGAGCCATTATGTTGCATTAATTTTTGCAAGCCACAAAAATATAGTTTTATGGAAAAAAGATTAATGTTAGCTTTAAGTTAAAATGTTTTCCACATTGCTGCTCTTCCAGTTTTTTTGTATTTACTTTTTCAAATGGCTTGCTGGCTTGCACTGTGACCCATAACTGCTTTTTGAACTATTTGGTCTGACAATACGGGAGTTTAGTTAGAATGACATACTTATGACACTTATGACATACTTACAACAGTAACAAAAACAATCTTTATTCGTGCAATTGCTCTTTTTATGCTATTTCGTTGATATCCACCGGCTTAGGAGTCAAGAACTTAATGAATTTGGGGGAAGGACATATTAATTGCAGGATTAGGAAAGGACAAAATATGTCTGTAAAATTACAAAATAATTATGTGAAATTAAGACTGTGAATAAGACTAAAAAGGCAAGTTATTTGTAGACTGTTAAGTGTTCCTGAGAGAATTAACAATGCATGTTTTAGTTATTACTATTCAAGGAGCACATACTGTACGCTGTAGTCAGGCAATCTGCATAAGAATTATAGAAGGCATATAAAAGATAAGAAGCTTGATCTCTTTAAGTACATTGTCTTATTTCCTTTGTAAAATAATTTGATTACTAAGTTTGAGGTTTATTTGATCTTTTCTTAAGGAGCCAACCACCAACATTCAATGTGATTGGAACATAGAGGATGACGAAAGTGATGAGGACTACAAGAAGCCCCTCAGGGCACCAGGAAACCGAGAAAATGTTTTTGGAGAAATTCCAGGTACAAGACTATTGTAGCTCAAATTACTCTTGAAAAAATCAGAGAGGTTATTTGAGATAGCTGATTCTACTCAAACAGACAGTTCTACAGAATATGTATGTGTGTGTTTGTGTGTATGTGTGCTGTATAAAGTAAGGTTTATGCCTAGATATTGGGTTTTGACATTGTTTTCCTGACTGTGATTAATACTTTTTCAATAGAATTTAAAAATATGTCCTTTTTGTATTCTATCGGTAGGTTGTCCAGTAGGAACAATATGGAGCACAAGGCTAGAGTGCTGTATTGATGGTGTACACAGGTTGGCTAATTTATTTCTTCTGGTAACACAGGCAAACTCTCCAATAATTGTGTCATCTCATACAATTACTGTATTTTGCAAGTGAACCGTAGTTACTAAAACATGGAACGACCTAAAACCACCTAAAACCATCTACAACCACCTACAACCACCTCAAAAAATTCAGCAACCACCTACAACCATCTACAACCACCTCAAAAACATCTACAACGACTTGCAAACAATCTAAAATGGATTACATTCCTAAGAACAAGTTAATTTTTTTAGCATCTGTTTATCATTGGCCAAACATGTTTGTACATTCCAGGTGACTCCTTTAGATGAACCCTCATAGTGTCTTTCACACCCGTTTCCTGTGTCATCACGCAAGGCTAAACTCCCTTGTGTCACGACACGGGAAACAGAGACTAGGTGTAATCATTGTTAAAAATGTTATTAAAAAAATCTATAATCCAATCTTATTTCTTAGTTTTGTGTTAAGCCAATGGTTGATGATACAAGGGACCAGGGAGAGTAAGATTTTAGCGGGAAGTGGATGTTTTGTCCGATTCTCGTATTTCATGTACATGACATGTTGTCGTCTTGCCTTATTTCAGACATTTTTACCTTGTTTTAGATGGTTTTAGATTGTTTACGCGTGGTTGCAGATGTTTTTCAGGTGGTTGTAGATGGTTGTAGGTGGTTGTTGAATTTTTTGAGGTGGTTGTAGGTGGTTGTAGATGGTTGTAGATGGTTTTAGGTGGTTTTAGGTCGTTCCATGTTTTAGTAACTACGGCAAGTGAACCGCCTCTTGACTTGGTTCAAGTGCTCAGGAGAAATGTTTGTTATACTACAGTAATGTACAGAATTTGTGATTTTGGCAGCATTGTGAGCTGCTTAAAGATCAAGTTAAGTGCCCTGGACATCATGGAGGTTGCATAAAAAATCCATAGCGACCTAACTTATTATTCATCAGACTAATCTTTCTTACATTGTATCAAGAGCAAAATTTCTGTTATTTGAAGGATTTCTCCCAATCTCTTGAATCAAGCCTTAGAACAGCCATAATTATGAAATAAGGTAAATGTATGAGATCACATATGTTGCAAAACATCACACTGCCTTGAATACTTTGGACGCCTGTTCAGATGCTTGGAATTGTAGTTCTCAAACTCATTAATAATTTTATTATTCATGCATTCAAAAGTCAGTGAATATTATGACCATTTTGGGTCAGCTAGATGAATCTTGATGCCTAATGAAACACTAGATAACACACCACTAGGTTTTCATCTACGATCAAACACTTGCATTTCAACTCATGCCAACACCATGTCACTGTATAATTTTGTATTGTTTCATTTGAGAAGACGTGTCAAAACCTTTGGCTTCATGATTCATCATGGGTTCCAAACGCCTGGAAACAGATGAAAGCATGTCGTCATACAGTGTACACTGTATTTCATCTGTTTCTCGGAGTTTGGAACCTGTGATGAAGCACTCACCCTCTTTTTTAGTATATTACTTCAAGCCCTGTATGGCATGTAGGTTGAAACAGATAATCAAGAAGCAAAGTCAGTAGTCAGTTTGGATAATAATTAAATTATTAATAATTTTTAATTCTTAATGCTTAAGGGCTGTTACATGTACCTTTTTTGTCTTCATTTTAATGAAGCTGTGTTTTATTTTTTGCAGACCAACAGTAGCTGGTATTCATGGTAATGAAGTGGAGGGATGTTACTCTCTTGCTTTGTCTGGTGGATATGAAGATGACCTGGATTATGGAGAATTTTTCACCTACACTGGAGCAGGTTAAAACTGTACCGTACTGTCTGAGGCCTACACAATGTATTCATTGTGTTGTCACTACACTAAAACGTACTTTGATCCACCCTCACGGCTGTAATTAGTGTTGTGGCCGGTCTAGTCGGCAAATAATGGAAGATTACAACGGATTCAACCTTAGACGATGGCTTTATTTTCCCTACACGACTCGTGGTTCCTAACCCTATACTCAGGTGTTCCAATGCCCTACCAGGAGGGAGTCTGGGTCCTAATACACAACATCCCTCCCCAGTTAGATAGAAAACAATAACATTTGGCAGAAGTAGAAACAGAATAATAATTGGTCCCATAAACGTAAACATGGACTAGCAACAATGTCAACAATGTCTCTGAGATTTCAGCGTCTCTAAAGTTTAAGTACAATAGTCTTTGAGATAACTTGGGGCCAGTCTGTGTCTCTGGGACCTCCTAAGTGGAACTTCAGGCTCAACAACATTTGGTTCCGGTATCACCACACTCTGCTGCGGGGTCGGTTTATCCTGCTTGTAGGGCTCTCCGGTCACCACCACTTCCGGTATACTTGGTGTATCATCACGTGTATTACCATTCTCTAGCAGTTTCTTTACATGAGATGTATTGTGGGGATATTGGGCTCCTACTGGAGATTGCACGATCAAGCTGTTCCCATGCTTGTTTACCACAGTGTACGGACTTGGTTCAAAACGGGTTGTGAGCTTGTTTTTCCTCTCTTGTTGCACTAGCACTTGATCTCCAGGAAGTACCTCTGGGTACCTCGCATTCCTTTGCATGTCACCGTACGCTTTGCTGTTACTCTTCTGTTTATTGTCCCTATCACGCACTTCTTGTTCGACATGTTCATCGCTCAGCTCAGGAAGCTTGGTGCGTATTTTGCGTCCGAAGAGCAACTCGGCAGGGCTTACACCAGTCGTTGAGTGAGGTAAGCTTCCGTACGCTGCAAGATACCGTATTTATTCGAATAAGCGCCCAACCTCGAATTAGCGCCCATCCCAAAGGCAGAAGAAGTTAATAAGCGCCCAGCCTCGAATAAGCGCCCACTCTCAAGGTCCAAAAATTTAATAAGCGCCCAGGGCGGTTAATCGAATAAATACGGTAAACATTCAGCTCTTTCTTCCAGTCATTCTTTTCAGCATGTGCGATTTGGAGCCTTTTCAGAAGCGAGCTATTTTGGCGCTCAACTTGTCCATTTGCCTAGGGCCATTTTGCTGTTACCCTGTGGTGTCCGATTCCCTGCTGCTCCATGTACTCTGTAAACTCTGTTGCTACGAACTGTGGTCCATTGTCAGATGTCAAGCTCTCAGGTAGACCATGTCTTACAAATATCTCTTCCATATTCGAGATGACTTTAGAGGCAACTGTAGATCTCATGATGTCTATCTCGTAGTAGCGACTATAGTAGTCAACGACGACCAGAATGGACTCACCAGTGGGGAGTGGTGGTCCAGTCGGCAATGCTGTGCTCCTGATAGGGTCTGGTGGGCTGGGACGGCTGACCAACTGACATCCATAGCAGGTTTTGCAGTGTTTTTCAGCATCCTTTTCCATCCCGGGCCACCACACTTTACTGCGCAACTTCTGTCTAGTTCCAACGATGCCCAGATGACCTTTGTGAGCGAGAGACAACACCCTGGGTCTGAGTTTCTTCGGGATAACGATTCTTGTCCCTCTTAGTATCAATTGTCCGATGCTGCACAGTTCACTACTAGATGGGAGTTTTTCTTGTAAGCTAGCTGATCCCACGGTTTTCCGTTTAAGCATTCCTTGACTGCACAGAGTTCTTCATCGATTGCTGAGGCTTCTTCCACTTCTCGTGTAGTCATAACACAGGGGGTCGCATATATGGCTACAAATCTGACATATTGTTCGGCTTTAGCTGAGTGACTACTGCTGGTTTTTAGATTTCCCACTAGCCTTGAGAGGGGGTCAGCAATGTTGCTCGGCTCGGGCTCATACTTGACCTTGAATTTGTATGGCTGCATTCGTAAAACCCATCTTTCAATGCGTGCGCAGGCTTTTGACCTTGGGCCGTAAATAACTTCCAGCGGCTTGTGATCTGTAACAAGATCAAATGGCACACCATACACATAGGGATGGAACTTTTCGCAGGCCCATACGAGTGCCAGCGCCTCTTTCTCTGTCTGCGAATATCTTCTCTCGGTGTCTGTCAGACTACGACTTGCATAGCAGATGACTCTCCGTCCATTCTTCTGCTTTTGGGTCAGTACCGCTCCCAGTCCAACTGTGCTTGCATCGGCAATTACTTGAGTTGGGGCATCTTTGTCGAAGTACCCCAAAGTCTCAGCACAAGCCAATCGCTCTTTTAGCTCCTGAAACACCCTCTTCTGTTCACCTTCAAACACGAATGGGGTTCCTGACTTTGTCAGGCGACGTAAGGGCTCAGATACCGTCTCTTGTATCTGAACAGACCGCAGTGGGTAGTAAACGTAGTAATCTCTCGGGATTCTGGGGAAAGTTCAAGCTGGTGATATCCCCACTTAAGGTCAAGTTTGGAGAATACCTTGCTGCCACTTATGCTCTGATTAATCTCATCAAAAGTAGGGATCGGGTGTCTGGCTCTCCGTATTTCCTCGTTAGCCCTTCGCATGTCAATGCAAAGACGGATGTCACCCCCAGACTTTGGGACAACAACATTTGGGTTAACCCATGGTGTGGGCCCTTGTGCAGGTTCAATAATGTCTAGTTCAATGAGTTCTTTCATCTTTTCTTCCAACTTTGATCTCATGCTGAACGGAGTCCTCCGCATCGGCTGTGCTACTGGCGTCACATTGGGGTCGATGTGGAGCTGTACTGCTCGGTCTTTCAACTTTCCAACGCCGCTGAAAACATTTGGGCACTTTTGTTGCAGGATTCCACCAATGGTCTTTGGGTCTGCACTTTCTGCAACGATGCCAATCCCTCTTTTCAGTACGCCTATACTAGTTGCAGTGTCCTTCCCCAGAAGGGGGTCTCCTTCACCATTGATCACACAAAACTTGGCACCAGCAGTGTTGCTTCCTGCAGAGACTTCACAGGAGAATGTTCCTATCACATTAAGTGGTGTCTGGGATGCGTAGGCATAGAGTGTCCAACTCGAGCGAGCTGATGCACACTTCACTTTGTTTTTCTTCAACCACTCCCATGTTTCCTTGTCAATGATGTTAGTGCTTGCTCCAGAATCTATGATCATGTTCAGCTCACAACCTCCAACGGTTACTTCAATTTTCTCCTCATTCCTGTCTCCTATCGTAAAAGCATACACTGGTTCCTCTTCTTCGTTGTTGCAACCAACCATATTTGCAGCACCTCCCTTGGGGTTCCTGTGGCCTTTGGTTTGTTTTTGCTTTTCTTCACCTTTCTGCTTTGTCCTGCACTGCTCTTGAAAATGTCCTTCCAGCCCACATCGATGACAGAATTGACCTCTTGCTGGACAGTTAGAATCTCGACCGAAATGTTCGGTTCTACCACATCGGTAACAAGTTTTCTCACGGCCGGTTTTGGTACCTCGTGACTGATTTCTCTTGCCATGGCCTCTCTTTGTTCCGTCTATGCGGTTTACACTAGCTGAATTCTCTCCCTTTTCCTCTATGCTCATTGCAGCAATCTGTGCGTCGACTTTTTCGCAGTTCTCGGCGATTTCAAGCGCTCTAGCTAAAGTGAGGCCTTACGTGCTGATGCACTTGCAGAGGATTTCACCACGAATTTGGTTATCTCTGTCTTCGCCATAGTCACAATCTTTCGATGCTCGTCTGAGTCTAGTTGCAAACTGTCGGATTGTTTCCCCTGGTGCGTGAATTAGCTGTCTGAAACAGTGTCTAGCATACGTAGTGTTGACTTTGGGAGCGAAGTATGGGTTCAGTGGATCGACTGCTTTCCGGTAATCTTTCACATCTCCCGTGTTCGGCAGGGTAAGGAAAATATCTTGAACATCGGGTCCCGCGAAATGGAGCATTAATGCACATTACCTTTGCCTGTTGTTCGCATTGTCTTCATTTAGAATTAAGCCTTTTCCGTCTGCAAATAGTTCGAAAGCTGTCAGCCACCGCTTCCATCGCAAGCCAAGCGTGTTTTGGTCCCCATGACAGTCGAATGTTTTGATATGGTTTCGTTCATTATCGTCCATGTTTCTCGCGAACTTTTTGTCTCGTTGACTTCTTGGGGTCTTATTTTACCCTCGTCGCCAATGTTGTGACCGATCTAGTCGGCAAATAATGGAAGATTACAACGGATTCAACCTTGGACGATGGCTTTATTTCACCTACACGACTCGTGGTTCCTAACTCTATACTCAGGCGTTCCAATGCCCTACCGGGAGGGAGTCTGGGTCCTAATACACAACAATTAGAGCTTGTAGTAATAGTTTACTTGTGATTGTGATGTATTATTTTAAATTTCCTTTTTTTATGTGCAGGTGGAAGGGATTTAAAAGGCACAAAAGCTAACCCTAAGGTATTGACTCGATGGTACATGTAGCTGGATATTGTTGTACATGTACCTCTGTGCTGAGAGAACAGATGTGTTAGATAATTATTAATTCATTAAGCAGTGGCGGATTCAGGGGAGGGGCCCGGGGGGGCCCGACCCTCTTATTTTTAGACCAACTGAGGCCTGAAGGGCCAAAAAAATTTGTTTTGGAGACCAGGCCCCTCCATATCTAAGGGTCTGGTTGACCGGGCTGCCCTCCCCCTTACATTGTATCTCAAGGTCTGGATCTGGCACTGTTAAGCAACAGTGTGGTACATGACAAATTGTTTCAGTGTTTGAAGAGATTCATCTATTTACTGTACAAGATATTCTACTTATGACAGCTGTCATCCATTGACAGGTATTTTTTGGGTATTCTTGCTATGTTTTTAAGACAGAAGTTCGGCTATATTGTTTTTCATCTAACTTGTTTGAAAACGCCTTGCATCACTGAGTTTCCCATGATCACTTTTTGGGGGATATTTGAGGTAATTATGAAGGAAAGTTGGGGCAGAAGGAACTCTTTTTGCTTGTTTTGTGCTCCCCACTAAGCCTTGGGAAAGCCTAGCTTCCTCCGCAGGCTGCACTGTCCTGTTTTAGAGAACGAGTTGGAGAATGGGGAGGGAACGGGGAGCTCACCACATTTTTTTAATCCTTTTCTCGTCCTCAGACTCCTCATGGTCAGTGTAACCGGAATTGCCTGCATAGGAGGCAATGGAAGGCCTATGGAGGAGGCGGGTTTTGAAACCGTTCCCACTTTCTGTACCTCTGCACTGCCAAAAGAGCTTAGCCACGTCACTTCTTCTTCTTCGCATGACACCTGTGAATTCCTTTTTCAGTTGAATAGTAGCTATAGCCTGAATTTCATCCGATTACTTCGAGTCCTTATTACTCCCTCAGTAACGTCTGAATCAACCAGCCGTTAATGCCGTCCAGTGACGTCACTACTCCTTGACCTTGGCTTTAATTCATGCAAAAATTAAAACACGATTGTTAAGTGGCAAACCGAGAAATGTCGTTTGGAAATGTCTGGATGATAAAGAACTGCTTTATGTTTTTCGATCGTAATTCATGTTTAACGTTCAAACTATCTGAACTATCTAACTCTGAACTGGTTGTACTAAATTCTATCAAACTCGGTCGCAACCAGGCAAAGAAATAAACACACAAACTGAACACTTAGTTCAAAAACACAATGATTTGCTTTAATTAAAAAAAAGCTATTTGGTCCTTAACCAAGAAAAAAAACAAGGAGACAAGAAAGAAAAGCTAACAGAATTATTACACTTGACGGTAAAAATAGCAAGAAGGTCGAATTATAACATTGATCTCGGAAAACTTCGAGTAAACAAAATCACCGGCCGCCGAAACTTCAAAGCGGCTCTAAATGAAAAACCTACCGACTCTCCGCAATGATTCTTCATCCGCAGTTCAATTTAGCATTTCAGTTTCGAAGACAAGGGCAATTTTGCTGTTTAAGATAAAGATTAAGCTTATCGAAATGTTTGAACTAAACGAAAGAATGCCAGGGATGCGATCTGCTGAATATCAAGCGACAATCCCGCTAAAATTTTTCATAATTATGCGAATGTTTAGACAATCAACCAATCAAAATCACTACCCGGTTTTCGGGTAGTGATTGACGTCACTGGACGGCATTAACGGCCGGTCTATTCAGACGTTGTCGAGAGGAGAAAACGATTCGAAGCAATCGGATAAATTTCAGGCTATAGTAGCTAATTATTGCAGTCAATTGTAACTAGCAGAAAAAATCAGCAAATTTGGCAGATTTGTCAAAACTAGCTGGTTATGACGAATAACCTGGGAAATTAAAGCCTGTTAGAAATGGAGATAATAATAAATAGTAATAAAAGTAATTTTTTAATAATAATTGTTGATTTTTCAACAGAATCTACGAACTGCTCCACAATCAAAAGATCAAACGTTGACTAGAGGTAGATAAATTATTGTTCTGTTTTAAGTTTACTTCGTGTGTCCTTTATCGTTTGGCAGTACATGTAAATTAATGTTCCCTTTTCATGCATAACAGGAAATTTGGCGTTGAGTCGAAATGTTGAAAATGGTAAACCGGTGCGAGTCATCAGAGGATACAAGTTAAAAAGTTCTTATGCTCCTGAGGAAGGATACAGATATGATGGTGAGAAAACTTAAGAGTAGATCAAAGTTCTCCCTACAATATTGCTGTTTAATCAAACCTAAAGATTAGGAGAATAAAGGAAAGTATCAGGGAAGATGAAATTATCATAAATTTCTAAAAAAATCTTAAAATATTATTGATTTCTTCTTTAACAACGGCAATGAGTTTATCCAAGTAGTGTTGTTGTTGTTGCTTGCTGTCTTTCGTCTTTTACAGTGTGAGATCATTGTTCACATGCTAGGCATAATAATTATTTTTCTTTTTGGATGCATGCATATATGAAATCTCTGCTTACTGACACTGTATTGTTCTTTCCTTTTTAGGCCTGTATTCAGTAGTCAAGTACTGGCAAGCTCGCGGATTAAGTGGTTTCTTAGTTTATAAATTTGCACTTAAGAGATGTGATGGACAATCCTCTCCACCGTGGGAGCAGTCGGATGAAGAAGAAAACAAGGATCCCGATGCCACTGAAAGTGACAGTTCTTAGAGCATAGATATACAGGTTTAGGCCGTTTAGTCGAGCTCGCGAAGTTTTCGTATATCGTTGTAGTCCGTGACCACAGAGGTTACCTACCTATTTAGATGTTTTAACCGAAGTATCGGATGCCTCTTTGCCGCTGACAGTAGTTTCTTCCTCCTTGATGCACAGGCAGCTCGTGTTTTTTACGTCAGTAATGTCTGTATTAATCTTATAATGTATCTACATGTACGTCATTTTTTTGGGGGGGGGGGGGGTTGATATTTTTATTGTATTTTACTTAATTTTTTCTTGTAATAGTAAAGTCTATGGGCGAACAAAAATAAAGATTAGTTATATTTCAGGACATAAATTGCTGGTAGAATATATAAGTGGTAGACGCAGTAGAATTCAATTGTTGAAGTTACAGAAGACTTTGGGTGTTTCCATTTTGCTAAACCAAACAGTCAGAAACCATTGGAATTATCGATCAAAATTTTCAATCGAATCGAAGCGATTCCATTTGCCTTGTGACCGAAACTTTGATTACTGCCTAGCAAAGTAGGACTGGAAACGAGAATTTCTGGAAATTGAACAACAAGTTTCGGTTGGATCAGACCGACCGGTCAAAGAGGACCACCTCTGAAGGTCACCGGACCACTCTGACCGGAAAATTTCCACACGGACCGAAATCTTCCATTTATTTTGTCGACCGTAATTAATCTGTCATCATTGCCTTTAATCAGTGATTTACGCGGATAACACACAAATGCACTCGGAGAAGGCGTGGGCTGCCTGGAGAGGTATGGGAACCTATGGCGGTATGCTTTCCCAGAAAATTTTGAAATTTTGATGCTCTGAAACGCTTTTTTTGGTGTCCTGGGAAGACAATTTCCGTCAAAAATGTTTGGTAAATTGTGAGATATTTTAATACTTGTTTTCATTGTTTAAAAATTTATTATTATTATTATTTTTGTCAAAGATGGCAGAGACAGCTACACACCTATTAAGTCAGGCTTCACGTACAAGTATTCCCTTTTAAATTACCGGTAGGTTTCTTACGGTTTCTAGTATACTCTATTTCTCTATCGTTTAATGGTACGTATTCATATTTTCAAGCAAGTTTGGGGTGGCTACACAATCTGTATTACAATGGATTGTCATGTAAGATAAGAGGTCCAAATATGGAAGGAATCCCTTCAAAAATACTGTGTCGAGCCACCTTAAAAGTGGACACTGACATACAGTCAAACCACGTTAATACGGACACTAAAAGATAAAAAGTGTCCGTATTTAAACGGGTCACGTTTTTAAAGCCAGGAAAACACCTTTTATTAGAACAAAGTAGTAAAGAAATGGAAGAAGACATAAGCATTTTTAACATCTGTAACCTTTACAATGCAGGGGTCCGCGGAAAAATCCACGGAAACACGCTGAAATCGCGCTCACCTATATATTCCTTAATCAAAACCGTTCTCTGTATAATTCGTTTGATGCTAAAATAGTCTGAAATTGACGTGTACAAATCATCTAATCTGGTATTCTGTAGCACCGGGAACATCGACACGCTGTCAACTGGAGGCCTTTTTTACCTGCAGAAAGGAAATGTCGCCTCGTTAGAACACACGGTTGATAATAAAGTGACCGCATTAGCAAGGTTGACTTTCTATGAGAATTTGTTGGTAGGGCGAAAAAGGGGGTCGTTGTCCGCATTAACAGATGTCCTTACGGGTTTTATTTTGAGAAAATGTAAGGGCTTTTCCCAGAGGCAAAGCAAATTGTCCGTAATAACGAGGTGTCCGTATTAAGAGGGAATCCGTTAGGCAGGGTTCGACTGTACCAAGGAGAAACTGAGGGGAGCAGAGTGAGGCAAAGATCCGGAAGATCGTCTGTGGAAAAATCAGTTTATCTTCTATATCTTCAGCTACGTTCTTTGGTTTCTCTCCGTTGACAGGGCTCAATCTCGTTTTCCACCGCCACAATAGCCTTCGTCTAAGACAGTCCAAATTCCCCGACATAGAGCTGCCACACTGTATGTCGGTTTTCAGTAGGTCCCAAGAGACAGGTCCGGCTGCAACGTAACACGGTTGAACAAGACGTTGTTGAAGATTTCTCTTTTAGCAGTCCGAGGTAGTCAGTCATTTCAGGTAAAATTACTGGGTTCAGGCTCCGCAGTGGGAGAAAAAGGAAAAAAACGGGGTCCTGGGGAGGGGGGAAAGGACAGCACCCTTTCCCCTCTCCTGACTACCTCTCTGATTTTTGTTTTCGCCCAGGCCAATTGTTTTCTCCTGTTTCCCCCAATGCGGAACCTGGTAAAATGTACCGTCAAATGCATCCTCGGAGACCCAGGGGCGGCAAGTCGGGCAGGGAGAAAAGGCGCGACAAAAGTTTTCAAACACAGTGCTTGAAAACTTTTGTCGCGCCTTTTCTCCCGGCCCGACTGTCCGCCCCTGGGTCTCCGAGGATGCGTCAAATGTAACTCTTTCATGGCTGCAATATATTTTTTCTCTTCATCGTATGTGGTCCACGGCATAAAAAGCTGCTTATGTATGCAATATATAGCCTGCAGTACAGGCGTAAACCTTGTTCGTGTTCATAATATTGTTGTAGCCACCATCTTTGATTTTACGACAGTGGAAGATTGGGGAGAGTAGAAATAGTAACCCTTACGGTAGGTGCGAGGGCGAAAGAAGGAAAGGGGGGAGGGGAGGGGAGAGAAAAATACTCTTCTCTCTCCCCGCCCCCTCCCCGCTCCCTTTGACTTGCCCCATCTTCTCCTCTTTTCGGGAAGTTTCAACATGGCGCTTTCGCGAGCAAATTGCGCGCTCAAAGAAAACGCCTGCACTGCAGGCTATGCAATATACGGTAAGATACCAATGTCCCATTGGATAGTTGGTTATAATCGTCGATGATTTTTTGACTTGAGTAACCATTATGAATAAAGAATATAGCTGTTAAACTGTATACATTCAAGGACCGCTTGTTCTTTCTTAACTTTACCTTTGTTTTATTTTATTGCATGATTAATGAATATCCGTTGTTTTGGTTAGCAGCATATTGCTCTGTTTATTCCATTTATTTCTCTTACGTCAGAAGATAGATATGCAGTAGAATAGGTTTTTTTGTTAGCTAAGCAGGTATATTGTTACCTTAAGAATCTAACGGGGTTACTTCTCCTTTTACCGAGCAGAGATTTCGCTTCGTTTTTTCTAAGTTCTAAGTTCTAAGTTCTGCTAAACATTTCTCAAACATCAGGGAGCGATATACCCTTCCCGGCCAACGCAGAGTCTTTACAGAACCCGTGTTGATAGCAGTTTTTATAACTGAAATGGTCATCCTGTTAAAAATGTTATTATTGTTATTCTTTTTGTTACTATTTGATTCCTGGAAAAAATATAAATGTAAATATCAACGCTTGAGGTTTCTTTTAATTATTCGACTCTTTATTCATCTTTATTCATCTTGTCGTAGTTATCTTTATTCTTTTATCATCCCCTTCCATTTTTTCCTCTTGAGAAGAATTTTTTACTTCAGTGCTTGAGTTTCATTGACACTGAATAATTCTTTATTATGGGGTAAAATTTACGACGCGTCACTGACGTAAGTAGCCATTATTTCATCCCCAGTGACTGAATAGAGATGAAGGACACTGTTTTTCAATTTCCGGTCACTGTTAATGTAAAAGGCGTCTCAAAGATTGTTTAAACGAGTCTGTCTTTCTTGCTTGACAATAGGACACGAAAGACGAAGAGACTTCGTAGCTATCTGGGTTTGCCTTAGGTTTTCACCATCTCGATTTTCAATAATAGAACCTGCCTCATCAGGGGAAAGAAATAGTTGGACTCCATTTCCAGAGAACTGAGGAGAAAGCCGGCTGTGAACAAGCCACTGAAGAGTTCTTTTAAAGATGTGAACGACAAACATTGTTTCTACATATGTCTTTGCACCATTTTTAAGAGGTAATTTTTAGGCTTAATGCATGAGTAGTAATTTAAGCAATTTAAAAACGCTTGGTACTATTGGGTACCGAATTACATGTTTTGAGTTTTTGATTCTAGTCGTACTTGAATTTATATTTAGCTCGCGAATTTGCTTTCCATTTTTGAACGTTCTTGTCTTGACTCTGTCCGAAGTGACATTTAGACATTTATTCTTGTTTTAGAAGTCAAAGCTAAATAAGCCCCTTGAAGTTCCATTGTTTTTAGTTTTTCATTGGTTCGATCGTGACCTCTTGTCAATGGAAGCCGTGTGATTGTAGTTGAACAGAAACATTACCCACATAGAGTCTACCTTGTTTTGGTTCCCACCGAACAGGTCCACAATTTGGCTATTGAGTCGTCACCTCTTGGCTTGTTAGTTAGTTGATGGTTGTTATTCGTCAGCAGTAGAATTTAAAAGTAAGTGAAGTAAAAGAACAACATGTGAAACCAGACGCTGAGCTCCGTGCAATCCTCATTATATTTTATTGTCAAGATTGATGGATGATACTGTCGAGCAATGATTAAATCTCGCCGTTGTTACTTGGGTTTTGCAGAAAATTTAGTGCCAGAGAAGCTGTTATAAGAATCTTACGAATAATTTAGAAGATGGTGAAATTATTGCGCCGAAATACTGAAGGTTTTTTCTTTTCGAGAAACTGTTTGATGCTGAGTCTGGATTTAAGGTTACTTCTATCTTTGCAATACTAGCGAGTTGACATACAAAACAAAGGTTTCCGAGCCCAGTTTAAAATAAATTTAAGGGTATAAACCTAGGTGTTTCACTAATCGGAACTCGTCGAGTTTGTTTGAGAGAGATATATTTTATCAAATAATAGGGCCATTTATACGAGGAAAAATAAGACGCGTCTTAAATAAGACGCGAACTGTACCATTTATACGAGCATGTCTCATCTAAGATGAGAACAGCTCGTATAAATGGTTCGCGTCTTATTTCTGTTCTTGACTCGGTTTTCATGTAAATGTTGCCTGTAGCAACGTCAATCCAACGTGGCGCGCCAAAAATTAACGCATGTGTACTATGAGTTCGCGTCTTATGTAAGACGCGAAGGTTATTTATACGAAGTTTTTCTTGTCTTAGCTGAGACGCGTCTCATCTAAGAACAGGTGTTAAGGATTGTTCTAAAATAAGACGCCTCTAAGCTAAGCCGCGCCTTATTTTAGACCATGTGCCGTTTATACGGAAAGTTCGCGTCTTACTTAAGACGCGTCCTATGTAAGACGCGTCTTATTTTTCCTCATATAAATGGCCCTAATGTGTTGTCGTGAGCACTGCTTGAACAACGCCGTTAGAATATAGTAATAATTATTATCTTTTATTATCAAAAGAGTCGCACCGTCCTCAGTTTCTTTTCGAATGTTTTCATTCCAGAGTTTTAACTGCGTCTTCCCAAGTACATTCAAAGCTCTCGTAAGCGGCCACTTTGGGAATTCATAAAAATGGTCGCCACCAGAGCTTTACGAGAATAGGCTGCCGAAAGGGACCGTGTCATTAGCTTACATGGGCAAAATGTTGTTAATTACTAATTCATTAAAGCAAAATAATATGAAATAGTTTATTTTTTATTATAATTAGCATATCATTCGATGTAAACGAGCCATTAATAAATGGTTTTTCATTTAGGGGAACTTTAAAAAAGAAAAGAGATAATAAAGACCAGCCCATGTGGTGTTTCAAAAAAGTGGTAGCGGTCGCTTACGAGAACTTTTCATTAAAGAGCTTTAAAAGTCGCAGTTCTTAACTAGTCATACTCAATGCTGGTCTTAACTAGAACTAGTCGCTTTCGAGAATGGTCGTAAGGAGAGTTTCTACTGTATAAAATACCACCTGCTCAATGTCATATTTATCCATGAATAAGATTCAAATGTAATATTTCTAGCTCATGGGCAAGATGAAATAGAAAGTCACCCGGTGGACGTCTGAATTAAAGTTAACCATAAAACGTATCTGACTCAGCACATGATAATTTCGACGGAAATGAAGCTAAAAGGCCATTTAGATAATGGCATCATCTTACTGCAACTACTAGTTATAATGCTTCGGTAGTTTGTTTTGTTGTGTAAATTAGTCCTTTTCTTCATGGGTTTACTAAATTTGAATAAGAAAGAAAAAGGGAATAAGTTCTGCTAGTCGTAAAAAACACAATGGCATTTTTTGAAAATATCCATTGATCCATCTTGGTCTAAACAGTTTTCTTTCCCAAATCTCCAGCAAGTATTCTGCACGAAAACAAGCCATTTTGTTAACGACACTATCTCTTAAGGCGAAAAAAAAAAAATCGAATGAGAAACCTATCCCATTATAACAGTTTTCTCTCCCCGCCCTTTAGGCCAGTTTTGGGTCGATTTTCTGCCACTTCGTCTTTCCCATCAGTTTCAACATTTCACTCTGGCATACTTTGAGGCCGCTGCGATATCAAGAAACGTTTTATCGGTATTTGAGGACTTTACCGGCTGGAAAGAAAGTAAGTTAGAAATGATTTCTTTTAACAACAGTGTACTTGCATTGGTGTAAATATGATAAATTCGTAAAGATAAAGAAATATATTAATACTTTTAGGTTAACAGCATGACATGGACAGCTCTGTTGAGAAATATCTTGTTAGAACTTTCTAATATACAGATTTAGCCAGGGCTAAAAGCGAAGTTCTGGTTAATAATACGTGTAAACAAAAAAAAATTAAATCGTGTAATGCTAAACGGGGACGAAAATGAAAATGGCCTCAAGACTAATAGATCTAACTAGCAAAAAAAACAAAATGCACGTGCAGCACACTTTTTCTTCTAATTAGCAAAAAACAAATTTGCACGCTTTTTTGTCTTTCCCTTGCCGTTGTTTTTTCACGGCTACAACGCTCTTTTGTACGACTAAAACGTCAAACTTCCTAGTTACACATTATTTTTATGGAGGAATTGTCGTATGTGCTTACCCAATATTTTGTTTGCTGTGTTCATATTCGCTTTTATTTTTCACTGCCGCTCATTTTCACTTTGCTGGCCGCTAGCATTTCTCATTTTCTCGCCGCCGCTTCGAATTTCCATGTTTTTCGTCCTACGAAATTCGTCTCCTTTGTTTTCAATAACTCGCTCTAGCTCTTTCTCTGTTACCCACGTCAGTGTAAATGTAAAAAATAACGCCGACTTTGATGTTGTTTTTTCTTTCTAAAAGCCCGGGCGGCCATGTGATTTCCTTCCAAATAGAGCCTTGAGTTGCATTTGGGTTGCCATACTTGTTGATTGAGTTATTTTACATGGGTATGCCTGTGGTGCGGACGGACGGTCGGGCGGGCGGTCGGTCGGTCGGTGTACGGTCACGTGATTACCAAATTTTCTCGGATGGGTAGATCACCACATTTCCTTAGCTATGGGGCTCCGCCCACGCTTCGCGCCGCGCCTGTAGGTCCGCTATTATGTATCATATATAAGGTAATTGCGTTCGAGGTACGAGAACGCAACCCCTAATTTGTGTTGGGTGTTCTGTGTATTATCGGGTGTGCTGTGCAATTAATAAGGGAGATTTTTTTGAGAATGCATTTTCGTCGTCGACACACATTTGCCTCGATTTGAGGCGCTTGCTTATGATTTGCCTCTCTTTGGCGCGCTAGCTCACGTGGTGATTCTTGTGTCCGTGGCGTTCATCATTCAAAGCGGTTTGGTAAGGTCTAATATTCTTCGTAAAGCGTTCATCTTTTAAAAAATTTGCTGAATCTTCGTAAAGCGTACATCGATCTGTGTTTGCTGAATCGTCCAAAGAGTTCATCTTTCAGAAGTTTGCTGTTAAAGTTTACTTTGGATTAAGCCTTCATATTTTTCAGCATGGTTCGTCACTGTCTTTGGAAAATGTTTGCAACTCCTGGTGCATGCATCAAACCGGGTTTAGTTCGGCGGCCGTTGTACCACTAGACTGCGAGCAGTCTCTTATTTTTCTTTGCAAAATTACTGCACGCGAAACCTAAGCAAAATATGCCATAATCATATTTCTCTATATCGCAACCACCCTTCCCCCTCAACTGCTACCTGTAGGCTTAAAAAACATATCGAACACACTCTCCTAAGCTCTGATTACTCCTAGTATTTACAAAGATGTGAGATATTAGCCGGCAACTACTAAGAGGGTGTTTTTATTTGCTTTAACAATCTTTAAAGACTTCAAAAGTCACATTTGATTTGAGTTATTGAAATACATTTCCAGTTCTCTCAGTTCCTTCTCCTGTGGCGAGAGTGAAACGTTATTGTACCGCTTGACCGACTGTTCTCTTCCTAATCGTTTACATTCGTTATGTGAACAAACAAATTGTTAAAAGGAATTAATTTTGTGTTAGGGTCATGAATAAGATTTATTTTTTATAGTATTGTTCCAATCAGATGAACGTGACCCTGTTTGGATAGAAACCTTACTTTTTTTAAAATGTAAGTCCAGAGGGTGCGAAACTAACAATAGCCCACTAGAACCCAAACTATAAGGATTTCTATGGGAAGTTATCGCTATATCGAAAAAACAAAAAAAGGTTAAAAGCACATAACAGCCATTAAAATGTATACAAGTCATAGACAAATGTCTCTGTGTTGTTTTCTTACTGTATAAACGTCATTGTAGCATTATTTTTTTTTTGTTTTAGTTTTTCACTTACACTTTAATGGCTCTTAAAGTGCTTTTTAACAGGTTTGTCGATCTTACGATAAACTCCCATACAAATCCTTACAACTTGGCTTCAAGTAGACTGTTTTGATTCTGGGCTTCCTGTGATAAATCATGCTGTTATACAGTACAATGGTACTGTGGTGTTTATCAAAACATCCAACGACAGTTCCACTCAAAAACTTGATCACTAAGATTACAACTGTAAATTGGCCTATTTGAGAAATTGCCAACTTGAATCTGACCTAAGCTTATTAAGAAATTGTTCAGAGTGCGTAAGTTTTTGCTTGAACAAAAAGAACTAAAGTACCCAATTAGCCATCCCAGGCGACGCCATCACTGTGCAACAATTTTAAAGTGCTTCGACGGTTTCATTGATTTTAACTTTTCCTTCGGTTGAAAACACCTCGATTTTATGATTGTTCATCATATTTCTTAATTTTATTGCTAGGTTCTGGTTTTTAATATATCGTAATTCTATTTAATTTTTGTTAGATATACACAGGACCACACTGCAGAGCGCGTATTGATGAGGCGGGCTCCCTGTTGTTTTTGTTAGAATCCAGAACTATTTTTCTGTCTATCGCTCCTAAGGATTCTCCGTTGTTTTATAAAAGTTATGGAAATGGAATAAGAAATCAACATCGGAACACCTGAATTCTTCAAACATTACTTTCTTTAAAGAACGCTGGTTAGCAGAGACATCGGTCCGATTCTAATTCTTGCCGTCACTCACTAAATTATTTCTTTTTTTAAAAAAATATGATCAATCCGAATCCATCGTGATAAAATTGCGCAATTACGATGATAACAGACACACTGAAAGAAGTAAACTGGGTTTTTACGATGCAAGTTACATAATGCAATAATATCTCAATCCAAAACAGGAAAAGGCATTTTTTGCCATCCTTTTGGGCAAAACGAAGAACTGCTATGGAAAAGCTGATAATTGAAAAGGACAATTAGTTGGCTGAACAAACGAAAAAGGAAAGCAATAAAACTAGATATGTTAATGAAAATTTCAACGATGTTTTTCGAGAAATGTCTTCACAACAAGCACTCTTCAACCAAAAAAAAAAGTAATTCCTGCCATTTTATGGGAAATGCAAAAATGCTTAAAATATGAAATAATACTAAAGATCAATATGCGGCAGTATCGATGTATTCCGGAAGATATATATACTAGAAAGTTGGTACTGGTGTAATGAATAGATGTGTGTCATATCTTAAGCAAATGTTTGTCTTCAGCTGGTTCCAATATACCTGTTCAAAGGAAGAATAAGTTTTTTTAATTATATTACGCGGTTGGTATAACTCGGTGTTCAAACCAATAAATCTAGATCCCAGAGGTGCCCATTGAATTTTGCCGTTTCAAACTGCTAATATGCACTCATAGAAAGAGATAAGAGCCTTTTTTAAGAGTCGGTTTTAAATCAAATTTTCTTTCATTTAGCTCGCAAATGAAATGTCTAATCATGATTGGAAAATGATTGATGTACTTGTAAAGAAATATATATAATTTATGACAAAGTCGTTTTTTTTATTTGGCCCTTTCTTAACAGCGGATGACATTTAGCTACCACGATTGTGAAATCATGTCGTCTTCATCACTTGAAGAAGAATCGTCTCTTCATGAGGAATTAGCTTCTCGTTCTCAGTCACGTACCGCTGGGGAGGCATTCCTCTATGCCTTCATTGTATCTGTCGGTACTGTTGGTAATTTTGCAGTTCTGTTGGTCCTTTATAAAAACCACCGCCTTCGCAACATCACAGCTTACTTTGTAATCTCCCTGGCATTATCAGACATTGTAATGTTGGATTTATGTGCACCTTACTCCATTACAGTTCTCATCACTGGAAGGTGGATATTCGGACACCTTATCTGTCAGTATCAAGGTTTTGTTGTGATGTGGGTCGCCTGTGCCTCGCTGGGCACTCTTGCTTTAGTAGCTGTGAACAGGTAACGCGTTTTAAATATCAAAATATGAAATGCTTTGGAAAGCTACTATTTCTTTAAAACTGGTGGCGAAATTACTACAAAATAAAACTTATTAACCTAAAATTCTTTCCTATCATTGAAACCAGCCTCAAGATTAAAATAAAATATTAGAACTACATCGTTCTCGTTTTTCCATTTTCTTTTAGTTTAATGTTTTTCACCCAGTCTCGAAATTGATAGAATTGAACAGCAAATATTGTTCAGACGTTTGTCCGTTTTAGTGACAATGCAAAGGCAAATTTAAGAGTATTTACATTTCGTAAAAATTTCGTTACTTGCTACAGGGTTTTAATTCATTATTATTCCGTTTTTTATTTTTCTTGCGGTAAAAAAATCTACTTTTGGCTATTATAATAGCACATAACTCACTGCAATCATTTCACTTGACAGCTAGCACTAAATGCAAACACAGCAACAGTGGGATTCATCAACGCAAAATGAAAAAAGTAATTATTTTACTGAATCATACAGCTGTTTTGAGTAATCTAAACATTGATCATTTTCAAAACGTAAAGGAAAATCAGCGTAGAAAAGTTGTGCTTCTAATGAATTTGAATAAATGTTATATCAAGTCTAATTTAAGCCGAAGATTAAGGTTTAAGACGATCTTAAAAAAAAAAAAAATTAAAAGGGAGTTACTCTAAGTCCGGAGGGCACTTTTTGGGGGTTGGGGGGTGGGGATGTGCCTCCGGGACCCTGGAATCCTTAGCCTATACCAGTGCTAGTTCGGCTGAATTTTGCTACCCTATACTAGACTTAACTCCCTAAATGCTCGCCCCCCTATCCTAGAGTAGCTGTTTTTTCAGAAACTACTGGGGTCACTAGCAAGGTCCAGCCAAAACAAAACCAATCTGTTTTTTGTCATATTTTTGAGTGGCAGTTCCCGGTTTCCCTGGTCTAGATTAAAATCTTCAACCAATTGATCGGTTTCCTAGAAAATGATACACTATTCTAGACCCAAACTCTCTCATTTATATACCCTATCCCAGAGTAAACTGCTTGAAAACCATACCCTTCACAGCGGCACATGCCTATATAGCCCACATATGGCAGTACCCCCCGTGCTCTAAGTAGATATGATAAATGCTTTTAGTCTTAGCCATAAGTAACATTCTAAATTTTGGGTGGCTGAAAACGAGGTTTTGCAAAACACCAGCATCGCTGCCCTTAATCTCATTCGCGATACTTGTTGTAAGTTATATTTATGACAAAATAAAACGAACCATAAATTGATTGGAGTTAAGCTGAGACTTCTACAACGCCCTTTATGAGAGTAAAGACCTTGTCCTGATTAATTAGTGAATGTATTTTATTTCAGATATTTTCATATCGTAAAGACATCCAACTACAGAGCGCTGTTTTCTCCTACCAAGTCCAAACTAATCGTGTTTGGAGGATGGGTCGCTGCTTTAATTACTCCTGTTTCTTACACAGCAGCTGGAAAAGACTACGTTTTTCAACCGGGAAAATTTTTTTGCTTCATGGAAGCCAAATTCTCTCACTTTGTTATTCCGTTTTATGCTTTTATCGCCATTTCAATGTCCATAGTTATCGTTTGCTATCTGAGCGTATTCAAAGCGCTTAAAGTGCATGAAAGAACAGTGGCAAATAATCTTCGAACTGGAAACATACGACAGAGTTCATTGTCGATAGAGGACATTAAAGTCACAAAGATTTTGTTTGCGACTGTGGTAGGTTTTGTCATTTGTTGGACCCCGGTTTTGGTCATTGATATTGTGGATATATTTCTTGGAGCGGGCTGGGCGTTGTCCCGTCAGACATATTATATGTATACCATATTTGGTATCACTAGTTCTGCCATCAATCCTATCATTTATGGAGTAATGAATCCTTCATATCGGAAAGCCTACTTAAAGTTATTTGGTGTCAGCAGTCGATTGGGCCGTGTAACGGATTTAACGTCTATAAAGGAACAAGATCGTAAAAACTTGGGTCAACAAGTTACAGAATATCACAACACAAGAGATACGAACCTTCATGAAGGAAACATTATTAGCAATCTAGAATAGTAAAGTAAGTTAAATCCTGCCTACCTGCAGACTTCTGTTGGGATATCCGCCCGAGACCGATATTACTGTTGAAAAAATTTCAGTGCTTTCTTCAATGCATATAACATTTTTCCAGTTACACGGACATACATGTTTGGGGATACAGTTGAACCTCCTTAAAGCGGCCACCCTCTATTAAGCAACCAGCTTTTTAAGTCCCCCAATAATTGCAGAAACGAGTGAGAAATTAAACCTTATTTCGCGGCCACCTTTTGGCCCTCCCAACGAGAGTTGTTCTCACCTCTATTTAGCGGCCATCACAGGGTGCTTGATACATTGATCTGCACTTAGTTTTGCTCCATTTTAGTAAGAATATGATGAAGGGAAATACAGTCCAACGTAGAGGGTGACGACCGATTGTGGACCCGTGATACTTCTCCCGTAGTGCGTTTGCTTCAAAGTAAAGTGATGTTTCTGCTAAAGATAATACCAATTTATGACGAACCTCTATTGAGCGGCCAACCACTTCCCATTACCCCCAGGGTGGTCGCTTACTGGAGGTTCAACTCTCTCATATTTTTCCGTTTTAGAATTCCAGACGCTTCAGGCTAGGTCCTGTATTAATGACTCTATTGATGAAGGGACACGCCCAGAAAGTTTAGAAATTTGGGAAGTAAACAAGGCCTTACATCACGAAACTTGTCGAACATCCATACTACATGTTAGATGGCAACTCCACAAATCATAACCCCGTTGGAATGGACATTTGAAATTTTGGACAAGTGAAATTTTGGTATTTTGAGGGAGTACCCCTGGGGAGTATAAACATCTGCTATAAAGTTGCAGTTTACTGTCGAACCTCTCTAATACGGACACCGAAGGGACAGAGCGAAGTGTCCGTATTAGAGAGGTGTCCGTATAAAAGAGGTCACTATGATGACAGCACTTTTACGACTCCACTTATAGTTTTAAGTGTTCAGTAGCTAAAATAAAGCCCACACTCGTCTTTAAACTGCATTTAAGTTTATTAATTCACAGTACAAAGACACTGTCTTTTAGTTGCATACAACATTGTACATGTCTGCTACGTACGTACAGTCGTAGACAAATCACTGTTTTAAAACGAAACGAGCTACAGCGCAATGCTACATGTAAAATATTGTAACGTAAAGCACAATTCTGAAAGCGTCTTTCACTATTTTGCCATTGCAGTAAACAGTAACTAGAGTACAAATGTAATAGAAAAGATCTTTATTCTATCTGTAGTTATTCAAGCCTTAAAAAAGTCGTTTATGTTCCTCTGTACGCCTTTCGCAAATCGTTGTTTGATATACAGCGACTGGGCTTTATATCACCTTGCATAGCTCATCAGCCAGACGGTATTCACCCTGTGCAGATTCGCCTGATCACCGAAGTGTCCGTAAAGAGGCTAAGGTTATATATGAATTTACTCTATGGGGCCGAGATTTCGTGTCCGTTGTTCGTATTAGAGAGAGTCTGTATTACAGAGGTTTTTTGTTAAAGAAAATATATGAGAATTTTATCGGGACATTGGAACTATCCGTAATAGAGAGGTGTCCGTACCGAGGGGTTCGGTTGTACTTTTCTTCGGTTATTCCAGTTTTAAAACGTTTCGACTTTTTATATAAATTGAAGAGCGTTGTTACAAACACAACCAAGGAAATGAATTGAAATTAAAGAATAGGAAAACGATGTTCTGAACTAAGGCTGTGTGTATATGACATATCTAGATGTCGGAAAGAAATTTGTGTACCGCGTATTCCAGTGTAAATGGTTGTCGCTGTTTGATTTAATCGCTGCTTTTATTAGCATGTGTAATCAAATGGTGACGAATTAAATTAGTGAAATTCTCATTATTTTCCAAGCCTCGCGCATGAAATTATTCCCTAATTACGTTTTGATTAGCTATTAATATCATGGGTGACAACTTATTCTCGGTTCACAAATTTCTGAATTTTTGACAAAATACTTGTTAGAATCCTACTTGACCATGCTCTTTCGAGTTTTTTAGGTTTTCTTAAGCGTCATTTAATACCCTGGCATCTTCATACTGAACTTTGCCATAGCAACGTGAAATTACAAATCAACGCTGAAATTTCGCCCCGAAATTAAGGAGTAATTTGTCACCCATAATATTTTAACAGAAATTGGCTGTAAACCGGGTTTCATAATCGTGCGCAGAACGCATGAATCAGAATGTTAGTCGACCACAGCGTTTAGAAGTAAGGCAGAGTATTTCAGATCTAAAACACTTTTTCAATACTGTCTGACAGTGTCTCGCACTTTTGAAGCATTGTCTGCCAGCAATCCTTACTTTCTCAATATCATTTGCCAGTAATCCTTACTTTTTCAGTGATTATGACTATCTGTGATGCCGTTGAACCTTGATACGGAATTTGTAGCCTGCGTAGCAAGCGTTTCCAATCGAGTTATTGCGCGAAAGTTAGAGCGGAAGCAAAAAAAAGGTTGAAGGGGGGGGGGAGAAGAGGAAACGCTTGCCCGCAAACCCCACGATTCTGGAAAACACCCCTTGATATTTCACGGTTCGGTTCATTTGTAAATTGACAGCTCGTCAAAATAGAAACATAACGAACAGATTACCCCTGGATTACCAGATTCGTAAAATTACTTTGTTCTCTAATAGAACACGTTGCAAGCGATTGCAAGAACTGTAATAAAAAAGATTTACGATAAAAGAAAGTTAAAACTATGAGCGATTGCTGCGGAATTTCTTGTTTTTTATTGTGTGGCTTTATCTCGTCTGAAACCTTGTCGACACGTCAAAAATGATTTGTCCGGAACAATTCACTCCGCCGGGTATAAGTTTTGCAGAGCGGCTGCTCTTCAGCCTGTGTCGAAACGTTCTCTACAATAGATGCCGCTAAATTTCCAATAAACAAAAAGAATCTTTTCATTTCAAAAAGCTGACAAATCGCTTGTCCATGGCGGCTTTAGCTAGTGTCGAGTACCGATGTTCTGATTTATGTTGATGTTATCTCCAACAAACAGTCCATTTTTGCCAGTCAGATCTGCACGCCGTCATTCTCAATAAATTAGCCTCCACTAGTCTCCACTGCTCGATCTCCAATTATACTTTGAAGACTCTTATCTCATAAACCTTCACACAAACACGATTCCAATAAATATCAGTCCAAAGCATTTGTAATCTGCGACCACAAATCAGATGAGACCAGATCTGTAACGCACGAAAACAAAGCATACCTGGTTTGATTGATGTTTCGAATGCTAAGTAATCAACACTACCCGCACCGCGCCAATCAGAAGCTGCGTTCGTGGGCGAACGTAGTTTTTCAAAATCGTGGGGTTTGCGGGCAAGCGGTTCCTTCGTTCCCCACCCCCTTCCCTGTCATTCATGTTTTTTTGCTCTTGTCCCAGCTTTCTAGACGAACCTCGCGAGGAAACGCTTGCTACGCAGGCTACGGAATTTGTTAAAACTAAATTTGCTTTTTCTTGTTCTTTAATGTACTTGCCCCTATACTACCAAATGAAATTCTACTAACTCCAGTAGATGACATATCACAGTTTTGGCCGCCAGTCACTCACCTTCAATTAAACAATTGAAGAAACATGACGTGCCACATTTTCAGTTGCTCTATTTATGGAAAACACAAGCTCGTTCCTGGGTTATCTCTCTCTTTCTTCCTTTGTGCCACGAAAGAAAGGAAGCGGAGCCTTCGAACGAGGTTGGAAAAAACACACTGGCGATTTCATTGATGCAACATTAGCATTATAGTCCCACATTAATATCAGTACCACTGTAACTGAAATTATTAATCTGTTAACTATATTTATATATATAAATGAAAGAACTGAGGGAGTATAACGCTAAAAAAACAGCTCTTTAAAAAATTAAAAGCAACTTGATGTTAAAATGTGTTCTTATGGGTTTTTAAAATGTTTCACCTTTCGCACGAAGGAATTTGTTGATCAAAGTATACACAGTATTGACAAAATAACTAATATTTTCATTTCACGTCATACAAAATGTATAAAACAAACTTAGACTGAGACAAAATACGCCATTTCCCTATCAGTAAGCAAAAAGTGAAATTTGTCAAGAAAAGGTGTTGTAGGTGCTTCCTATTTGACTATTTTTCAACATCTGGTCTGAAGAATATGTTCAATATGAACAGGCATGCAGAGGTCAGTTATATACAATTTATTCGACAAAGGATGTCACAGGAAAGCTAGCGTAAAAGCGTACGCAGCAAGGACGAAACATAGTCTGGAACATCATCAATGAATATGAACAAATACTAAATGTCTCTCCTCCACATTGTTAATGGTTCCTTTTACCGTTTATTTGAATCAGCTGTGTCCCAATGTAAGCGACCAAAGTACGCATAACACCAACTCATCATGTGAAGTCTGATTAGTGTTGCGTCTTACTTGGCTCAAACATGGCTGAAAAAAATGCAATCTTCGATTCAAACACCATTCATGATATAAGGATACTACGGGGGTAAATACTACGACTATCCCCCGAAGGCGAGGGGAATAGTGGTGGAAATATACCGAGAGCGCGGAAGCGTCGAGGTATATATCTAGCACTATGAACCGACTCAGAGGGGGTAATTGTTTTAGTATTTACCAAATCAGTTGGATAAAAATCAGGGATCAACGAAGAACTTTTTGTAAATAAAAGACTTCACTTAGTTAGGTTTACGTTTCAATTGACAGTGTTTCGGGGATCATTTTTTTATGATTTTGTTGCAAATTCAGTAAGAAAATTTTTTCCTACCGACCAGTTAACACCGACAAGCCAAATTTTGTCTCTTTTTGGTATTTGTTGGCGCAGCCGCTTCATTTACCTCTAAAATTTGATCTTTCGAAACTGTCGCGAAACGAGAAGCCATTTCGAATCCCGTCCCAAAACAGTGAATATCCAAGGATATTCCGAGTTACGACCGCCAATCAGAACGCACGAAAATTGCTATCCAATGATTTGGTGGTAGCGTAGCGTCGCCTAATGTCGGCTGTTTACTCAGGTTAGTTTTGATTGTACACGGTTCATATAGCTGAATGGTGCTCAGGACGAAAAACAAGACTTAAACCGTTTTGTGAAGTACAACAGTAACACGATTTCTGTTCGTACTATTCGGTTAGCAACTTTTCAAAAACGCCTGGCTAGTTGCTCTACAGACTGTTCAACCGTACATAGCTTTCACTTGTTCGGTTATTTCAACGGCTCTAAAATCTTTCCTTGGAATAATTTTTAACCTTGGGCTAAGTTACGCCTTTATAATACCCCAAAATGCCTCCAATTTTCGAGACAATAAGCATCGCTGATCTTGTTCTGAAGTTTGGAAAACAATACATTCCTAATTTATGCAGGGTAGTACTTGGCGTGACTCAACCTGTCAAATTTTTAGCCAATGAAAATCCGTTACTTCAAGTCACAAGGCCAATCACCAAGTGAAAGCTATTGCGATATGTGTTGGTATCCGAGCGGCGAAGCCGCCAGCAGCAAGTTGTCCGGGGGCCAGTACGAGCGAAAAGAGAGACTCTCTTTACGCTCGTACCGTCGTCCGCACAACTCGCTGCTCGCGGCTTCGCAGCTCATATACATTGTTTTTAATATCGCACTCGCACACGGATTTTCGAGCAAAAAAGAATCTGCTCGCAGTCTCAGGATAAAAACTTAATATCCTTTAAGTTTCAATGCGATTACTCCTAGACGTCTTTTATCTGAAAGTTTGTGTTTGACCTTGACAGTTTTACCCGAAAAAAAGTGGCACAAATTGCTTTCCCTTCCAAGTTGTTTTTTTTTGTTTTCACCTTAATTTTCTCCATCCTAAGAAATTCTTTATCCTTCATAGTTCTTAAAACCACTCTTACTAGTTTTTAATATTTTTGACCTTTGGATAACTTTGTGCGTTTCAAAATAGTGACTTAAAATATCGTGACAGAGCAGTCTCCTTTAAACGCTTTTTTTAACTTCAGCTTACAATAAGGACCTCACCTTTTTTGGCTAAAATTAAATGTCACGTCATCACCAATCAGCACGAATGGCGCCCAGTACTTCATGGCATTGAAGTCGTCAGACTCGCGCATCCATTTCATGGCCTCATGAAGTGACTTGCTTGCACTTTTTCCATTCACTAAATTGTCGTAAAAATGTCTCATAAACTCTAGAGTGGCCTCGTCATCAATCGCCCACAGTGACGCAATGACAGAACGGGCGCCGGCTCCTAAACAGGCGCGTGCCATACCAACCACGCCTTCGGCTTTGATCTTCCCGCGTCCACTGTGACAGCAGCTTAAGACAACAAGCTTGGCGTTTAGTTTTGAATTCAGCACATCTTCCATCGTTAAAACAAAATCTTCCTCTTTGGGTTGTTCGGAACAGGCTAGATTTGGAGACAAAATAATTTCACCGGTTTCTGCACAACCATGAGCTGCAATGTGAACTAAAGAAACTGAGTTAAGCTTGCATAACACTTGGTCTTTTGCGGCCTTCTTCCCGTGAAGAGGCTCGACGTTTAGTATCTTTCCAATCATTTTTACCTCTTTTTCAGCACCAGGGAGCTGCTGAATTTTTTTTCCTTTGAAGCGTACAGTTTCAGTCCACGGATCACCAACGAGCAGTGCACCAGATGTGCTATGGCGCCCATTTGTGCACTCTGTCAGCAGGCTTAAGCTTGTTAATGATGGCGCCAATCGAATTCTCAGCGTCTCAGACAAATACCTGGAATTTTGATCCACAAGGGCTGCATAAGGGATCAAGAATGATGAACCTTCAGGGACAATGATGAGTTCGTCCCCTTTTATCAGGTGTGAAATGGGAGCGATCACTGCGTCAAACAACTCTTTTAAAGCATCACCTTCTGACGGTAAAGATAATTTATCATCTGTATCCCCTTGGGATAACTTTTCAATTGCTTCATCTTTAGCTGGGTTATTCAGGGTGCGATCCTCACATTTTACACCTATTTCAACACCAATCTGTTTGTACGCTTTGTCATTCAAGTATTTCAAGGTACAATTGATTTTCCTTCTCATAAACTGCCCCTCTTGTTCATCAAGAATTACCCACAAATTCACTGTTTCGGCGACTTCCGCGAGGAATGTCGTAGGTGATGAAATATGGCTAAAAATGTTAGTTATCCTTTCCATCTGCTCTTTTGAGGTTGGTGGAGTTGATTTTATGCCGTATTGTAGTTCCATGAGATCCGTGAGAGCTTGGGCTCGTCCCTGCTCGGCGGTTAAAAGCGCCTCGATGGTCTTGCCTTGTAGTAATTGAACAAGCCATAAAAAACTGTAGGAATCACGTTGGTCCCGAAAGCTGATTTTCCATTCGTCTTTCTCTTGAAGAAGAAACCGCATGTCCTCAAACAGTTTTATACTCAATTCGAAAAATTTTTCAGCCTTTGGAAAATCTTTGAGACGATAAAAAGCGACACCAAGTTTGGCGTATGCCTGTTCTTCCATATGTTTATGTTCAATCTCTTTTGCAATAATAAGAGCCTCTTGATAAAATTCGATTCCTTTTTCGAAATCAGAAAGAGACTCATACGCATAGCCAAGGTTCATATATATTGTCCCTTCTGACTCCTTGCTCCCAATCTCTCTTGCAAAGCTAAGAGCTTGCTGGAGAAATTCGATTCCTTGATCGAAATCACCGAGTGAGCAATATGCAGTCCCAAGGTTGTGGTATGCCGTTCCTTCTGAATGTTTGTTTCCAGTCTCTTTTGCGGTATTAAGAGCCTGTTGATAAAATTTAATTGCTTTTTCCATATCACCGAGAGACTGATAAGCAGTGCCAAGGTTACTATATGCTTTTCCTTTTGAATCTTTGTCTCCAATCTTCTTTGCGATACGAAGGGCTTGTTGAAGGAATCCGATTGCTTTTTCGAGGTCACCGAGGGAGAAGTATGCATTGCCAAGGTTGCTATATGCCGTTACTTCTGAATGTTTGTTTCCAGTCTCTTTTGCGGTATTAAGATCCTGTTGATAAAATTCGATTGCTGTTTTAAAATCACCGAGGGAGTTATACGCATTGCCGAGGTTGCCATATGTCTTTCCTTCTGAATCTTTGTTTCCAGTCTCTTTTGCGATGCTAAGTCCCCGCTGATGATATTCGATTGCTTTATTGAATTCACCGAGCGAGTAATATACATTACCGAGGCTGCCATACGCCGTATCTTCTGAATTTTTGTTCCCAGTCTCTTTTGCGATACTAAGAGCCCGCTTTTGAAACTCGATTCCTTTTTCGACATCACCAAAGTCGAAATATACATGGCCAAGTTTCGAGTATGCGCTTCCTTCTAAATCTTTGTTTCCAATCTCTTTTGCTACACCAACAGCTTGCTGAGAGAATTCGATCGCTTTTCTCAAATCGCCGAGGTAGTGATAGGCATTGCCAAGGAGGTAATATGCGTCTCCTTCTGAATTTTTGTTTCCAATTTCTTTTGCGATACTAAGAGCTTGCTGAAGGAATTTGGTTTCTTTTTTCAACTCACCTAGAGAGTGATAAGCATTGCCAAGGAGGTTATATGTGTTAACTTCTAATTCTTTGTTTCCAATCTCTTTTGCGATACTAAGGCCTTCCTGAAGATATTCAACTGCTTTTCTGAAATCAGCGAGGGAGTGGTATACGTTGCCAAGGAGATTATACGCGTTTGCTTCTGAAGCTTTGTTTCCAATCTCTTTTGCAACACTAAGACCTTGCTGAAGAAATTCGATAGCTTTTTTAAAATCACTCAGGGAGTGATAGGCATTGCCAAGGATGTTGTACGCGTTTCCTTCTGAATATCTGTTTCCAGTCTCTTTTGCGACACTAAGTCCTTGCTGAAGAAATTCAGTTGCTTTGCGGAAATCACCGAGGGAGTTGTATGCATTGCCAAGGATGATATATGCGTTTCCTTCTGAATCTTTGTTTCCAATCTCCATTGCGATACTGAGAGCTTGCTGAGAGAATTCTACGGCTTTTTTGAAATCACTGTGAGAGTAGTAGACACTTCCAAGGATGTTATAGGCGGTTCCTTCTGATTCTTTGTTTCCTATCTCTTTTGCGATACTAACAGCTTGCCGTGAGAATTCCATTGCTCTTTGAAAATCACCGAGAGCGTGATATGCGTTGCCAAGGGTGATACATGCACTTCCTTCTAAATGTTTGTTTCCAATCTCTATTGCGATACTAAGAGCTTGCTGAAGGAATTCGATTGCTGTATTGAAGTCACCGCGAGAGTCATGATACGCCATGCCAAGAGTTTTATATGCAACCATTTGCAAATCTTTGTTTCCAGTTTCTTTTCCAGTACAAAGAGCTTCGAAACAAAATTCGATCGCTTTTGTTACCTCACCGAGAGAGAGATAAGAAGAAGCAAGCAATATGTATGCTCTGCCTTCTCTATTCCTGTCGCCTGCTTCTTTAGCTTCATCCAGTACTGACTTGAAGTAATCTAGGCCTGTTTTGAAATCACCACGCATAAAAGCTCCAAGGTCCAGGCGAAACCAAACTTTTGTGTTAGTTCTGTCGTGTCGCGGATGTTCACCTTCTCTTTCACAGCATGTCTACAAATGGAATGTAAACAATTCGTCATTTTTATCAAATATTGCTGTTATATTTTCTAGCCGGGGTTAAATACTATCCCCATCAAAAAGCTGCAAATAAGTATTTTTAAAGTAAATAAGCTTTTCATGTCTTTCTTCCGCTTTCCTAAAACGGCGCGGAGTCAGCAAGGTTCTTTATTTCAAATTGTAACGTCTTAGCGTAACCTTATCATGCGGTATGTAAGACCCTAAAGAAGAAATAGTGGTGACAAAAAATATATATTCCCGACTTTAAAATCAGCCTTGCTTCGTTTTTTCAACATTTCCATTCATAGCTGATTAGATCCTTTATTAGGATCCTGTCTTCCTTTTTTGTAAGTTGGTCCTTGCTTCCAAAATTGAATATAATAAGTAGCTATAAAACTAATAAAAGGGTCATAAAAGTATAGGCGGATAGTATTTTTTGAAAAAGCTGTTTCCACTGATGGCTTTGGTTTTTAAGAAGACAGGTTAACGTTCAAGTATAAAGAAGAAAAATTAAACACTTTTGTGCACAGTTTATAGAGTAAAATGATGATTATTAATACAGCCAACATCGACTAATGGTCACCCAACAAAGGCTATTCAAGCTACTATACCTCATACTTGAGTTTCGCTGGTAGTTAAACTTCCGACTTGAGAAAGATATTTTCGGAAAACAAATCACCTTATCAAAGGAAAGGGCTAAATATAAAAATACACGGACCAATTTAGGTTTCTGGGAAAATGCCCACCTACCCCTCCCCTAAGCCAACATAATCTCTTACTTCTCACTTAGGGCAAAATTTTGGCTGAGGGGAGGGGTAAGTGAGCAGTTTCCCGGAAACCTAAATTGATACCAAATACACAAACAAACGACAAACCTTGTTATTTTCCTCCTCGACTTCTGAACCACTATTTGCTTTGTCTGAAGCCACTTCCCTCAGTTCAAAAAGCGTCTTATTTTCCTTGTCAATCTTTTTAACCATTAAAGGTGTAAATAATGTTAAAAACGTCTGCAAAGTTGCTACCCCTTCCTGCAGTCTAGATGGGATGTCCGTCCAGCATGGCGTTGTACCAAAGAGAGGATAAAAGTCATAAAGGTTTAGACTGCGAATTCCCCATAAAGGCTTTACTCCCTAGCTAACTACAACAACAGCAGTAGAAAGAAAAATAGAGAAAAATACAAATTCAAATGACTTTTCATTTTAAATACAGTTATCTTAAAATCTTCTAACAGTATCCATGTTGTAAAGTTTATGTTTTTAGTTCTTCGGTTCTTGACATTTCTCCGGGAACAAATCTATTGGTGGTTTTTGAAATACTTTTTCGCAACAATCTCAAAACGGTAAAACAAATAGGTGTATCCACTCAAAAGAAATACCGATTTTGGGTCCTACCTTTGTTACAGTTTGCCTCGCTTGGATAATATCCGACATTCATGAATTTGGGGAGGCTGAGAAGCTGAGACTACACCGTTTGTTTTATGCTTTCCAGAGGTACTGAAGACATGTTTAAAAGAAGACTGTAATGATACACTGATTTTGGGTTGATATCTTTAAAAAACAAGAAGGTGATGCATATAGCAAGCTTGCTGAAATTAAAAAGAACTACGATTTGCTGGTATGTAAACATCAAAAGGATACTGCTAATCCTGCATCACACCATACGAGTGCTTGCTTGAACTGCTGCAACTTCACAGACGCATTCGCTCCTGAAATCGTGTAAATACAACAGCATAATTAAATTTAAATCAGCCAAACTGGGTTAAGAAAAGAAATACACAGTTTACTCAAGATGAACTTTCACCGCGTACAGACACTTACTGGCGACGATCCGAGGTAAGATTGAAACCAAGATAAAGCACTGCCTTTAATACTAAAGCAAAACGCAAGACGATGTAACAAAATTTCAAGGTCGACTTGGTCAAAGACATCAGAACGATCGAGGAGTAATAATGAAACGGATTTGTTGTTATCAATCGCTCTCAAATATCATTATGAGCTGTGAATACTGTTGTAAGCCGATTGAAAGATTTCACCAGGGTCATTAGTTTCAATACATTTAACGAGTTGTAAACAGACTGCTCTCTCAGTCACCATATAGATATAAAAAAGATTGGACAATGGTCTTCTCAGGAGTCCAGATTTCCTGTCGTGAGCAATGGTCGAATTTGTAGAGCGGTTTTGAGACCCTGAGGTATGGACCCGGTGGCCAGAGAACGATTTACAATTTCAGTGAGAAGGACAGGCAAGGTTTCAAAACAGGAGCAACAATCTTTTACTTTACTTAGAGCTGCTAAGTTCTGATAATTTCTTGGGCGATGGGTAAACTCGTAAGGATTATTGCTACAACAAATCCGCTCTAAACTGAGAGAAGATGTCTCAGCCATCACAGGAGGGAGCTGTCGGGGCGGGTTAAAAGACAGATTCAGAGCTGCCCTGCACCTGCCTTCTCCCTCAAATAACTTTGCAAATAAAGAAAGGCAGAGAAGTCAATGGATAATTGTTACATTTCACTCTATTTAAAGTTTGAAAAGACAAAATTTATTCATACCGAAGCTGAAACTGTTAGTATTTATCATTATCATTATCATTATCATGGTCATTATTATTATTATTGTTATTTTTATTATATTTATTATTGTTATTATTATTAACTGAACAAGCTGGTAATGCGAGCTCTCTTTATGTGTAATTACATATTGAATATCACGGTAAGGCTTTAAACTACCCAAATTACCTGATATTATTGCTTTGATTAACAATGGTCGTATGTCCGTGGCATCTTGTGCATCTCTCAGTGAGTCTGTGTAATTTCCTGTTGATGTTGAACGTAACAAACCAAAAGGTCAGTCACGACGGGCACAGTATGCTAACTAAAATTTAGCTTAGTGTTTATGAGACAACCACTCCGAGGTTCTCAGCGAGCGACCTCGGACCGGCTGAAATTTACGCTCCCCAAAATTGAATGCAATTTCAATAGGTAAAGGGTGTCAGGTGTTGGAAAACATTTCAAGTTTATTGCATTATTTCAAAATTGAAACGGAAACAAAAGCAATAAAAACAAAACCGACGAAAATATACAAACTGCTCTACCTGCAAATTGCGGGGTTAATCTAGGCAGGTGGAGCAATTCAGATACGTTCTAAAACACTGCGGGTAATGCGAAAAAAATATCTTAAGTAACTTTTATGACTACATGAAAAATTTCTGCAATTTGATTGCCTTAGAGCGGTGGTAATTCAGCTTAATTTGAAATACCTAAATGTGAAAATTACAAACCTTTTGCGGGTAGTAGTATAAACAAATAATAGCATGATTTGTACTTGATATTTCGCATAAATACCACTGGTGATATTTCAAAGTAGTCTCAAATTTAACTCGCCTAACGGCTCGTGCAATTACGTATAACAATTTTGAAATATCACTCGTGGTATAAATGCAAATGTCACTACAAATCATGCTATTACCTATACTAATTTTTACCGAAATAAATTGATAACTAACTCACTAACTAAATACCTCTAAATAAATTACTGAATAGTTAGAAAACAAATGAAATAATAAAGAATTTTGTAACAAATTAAGTATGAATTCAAAACCGAAGCCCCAAGCTATGGTGAGCCTATATATAAAAAATATGTATTTCTTTATTTCTTTTTTTATCGCTTTTACCTTTGTGTATGTCTTGCTTTTATCAAAAATATTACGTTATAACTTTATTTTCACCTTGTATGTCTAGCCGGATTTTTGAAAACGTTACTGTCAAATAGATCTTTTGTGTCCAACAGTTTTTTTCCGGCCAAAAGTTATCTCCAAACTAGCCATCATAAAAACTAAGAGTGCAACCATTGCTTTTTTCTCTACTCCTCCTTTCTTCCTCCTCTCTGTTTCTTTTTCTTTTTTCCTTTTCCTCGTTAGTGTGATTTTGGAGTTTATCGGACCCAAAAAGCCTGCCTTTTGACGCTTTTTCACTCAAATGACTGCAAATTTCGATAGGTTGGTTTCCAAAAAACTGGCTAGATCTGTATAGACAGCTATCTCAAATTGTGTATTTTTATCCAAGTATTGATTAATTTTGTAAAATATGTACACTGATGAAGCCCGAAGGGCGAAACGTTTGTGCAGTAAACAGCTTTGACATTCAAGACTATGTATAATATATAGATTTAACCAGGACTAAAAGCGAAGCTCTCGTTAACCAGATACTTATAAGCACACTTTTGTGTACATTTTTTGTCATGGTTTTGCACGACTGCAATGCCGTTTTGCACGAATAAAACGTGAAACTTCCTAGTTACACATTTTTTTGTGGAGAAATTGTCGATTTTTTTCACTGCATTTCTCATTTGTGATTTTGTCACCGCCGCTATGAAATTTTCATGTTTTTTTTCCAACGAAATTCGTCTCCTTTGTTTTTAATCACTCACTCTAGCACTTTCTCTGTTATCCACGTGAGTGTAGAAGTTAAAAATAACGTCGAAAAAGACACGACTTTGTTGTTATTTTTTCTCTCTTAAAGTCCGGGTGGCCATGCGAGTTCCCGCCAAAAACACCTCGACTTGCCTGTGGTGTCATACCTGTTCTTTAACATTGGTATGCCTGTGGTACGGACGGACGGTCAGACGTACGGTTACGTGATTACCAAAATTTATCGGATGGATGGATTACCAAATTTTTTTAGGTATGGGCCTCCGCTAGCGCGCACTTCGGGCGCGTGGAGCTCCGCTACAATTTATGCTTAGTAAATAAACCCCTTCTTGCGGCTGGTATATCGGAGGATAAGGCCCGCGGCTGAGAGAAACCAAAAAATAAACATTTGCTTCGAGGGCAAATGTAAAATTTTGAGGACAGTCTCTCGGCCAAGGGCATTATCCACCGATATACCAGCAAGCCAGAAAGGGGTTTATTTATTCTATAATCCTCTAATTAATTTTTTACATCTCGAACATGTTGGGAGAGAAAAAAAAAACAAAAGCAAGAGGTGAGCGCGCCTGCGAATGACGTACACAAGCAAATTGATTAGTTGAATTTTTCATATTGAAACTGTGATTGGACCAGGGCTTGACAGGCTGTCATGTCAAATGAACTCTCGCAACGCTCCATATATCAAAACTCGAAAAAGCAAGTGCTTTTTATAGTTAACCTTTTAACAACAGCACTGTTTGAATACTGCTCTAAAAACGTTTCTAATGGATAAGTAAAGAGAATCCAACCTTATCACTAACTGCCGCTGCAAGTGTTAGTAAAGTAAATAGTATGAAACAGAATCTAAAAAATCTGCTGGAGCAGTTGAAGGATTTACATTAGTGGACTGTTGGCAAAACCTGGCTTTGTTGCTGTGGATAGTGGAAGGTGGGGAAGTCATAGAAAGAAAGGTAGAAGAACTAATGAGGCCCAGCCGTAAGAACAAGTTGAACTGACCGGAATTTACTTGAGTTATAAATCGCCCGACCATCGAAGATGACTCGAACTGTTATAGTTGTTTGCGCAATGTACGACTCGATAGTAGTATAGGGCGCACCGGTTACTCCGGTTTTTTTTGGGGGGAATCTCATTAAGTTGGGGGGGGAATAAATTAACGTAGCTGACGTCATAGGTTATTGTCTTGATCTCATGAATAAAATGCTGTGGTATCTCATAAAGATAAGGTGCTATTTTTAGATGGATGATGTCATGGTTGGTATAACCGGTTTGACAGGTTTTAGTTATTTTCGGAAGATGATGTCATATGTATTCCGGGGTACTATGATGTCATAGTTGTTTTGATTGGTTGACCGGAATTAGAAAGACGCCCATTGGCTGTCTCGTTTGACGAAGCATTCTGGTTGGTTGCCGTATTTTTTATTGTTTGAACGGCATAAAAGCCTGCTCACTGCCTTCCCGCATACTAATTTGGATTTCCTGCATACTAATTAAGTGTCTTCCTCCATATATAATGAAGTGGATAGGTTTACTAATGAGCGTCACTCTACTACAATAGGAACAATAGGCTTGCATAAACTTGCCCGGTAAGTAACTTGAGCCCGGTTTTCGGACCGTCTATTAAAAGAAAAATAGGAATAAGAGAAGTGATCACCCAGCAACGCGAGAAAACGGCTTCCTATATCTTATTTAGCGCTAAAACTCAGATATACATAAACAAAACACATACAGAAAGTGGAGTTGAAAAGTCTTTATTTCAATTTAGTTTACGTCTTCTTATTTAGCGCTAAAACTCGGATATATATAAACAAAACATACACAAATTGGAGCTGAAAACGCTTTATTTCAAGTTTGTTTGACTATTACAGAACAGTTTTCTCCCATCTATCTCGAGGACATGAAAAACTATTGAAGTCTCAACGTTTCACGTACGGTTAATCAGTTAATTATGCGAGTTCACAAGCCCAAAGTTGAATACAAATTAGCTCTACAGGAAAAACCTCAAGGGAGCAACCTTGACGTATTATTATAAAACAAAATAACTTAACAAGGATCAATTAAAACACGCGACTCATAATTGCTAGCAATAAAACCACAAGAGAGATACCGTTTTGAAAACTTTATTAAAAGTCAATAACAAAAAGAGTCAAATATACAGCGATTTGAAAGGAAAAGGAATGAAAATTAATCCTTTGACTGACTATTACAAATCAGTTTTTTCCGTCCTATTTCGAGGAATAATAATCTTTTTCGCAAATAGTCAGGTTATATAGAGTGTCAGAAAGGCCAAACAAGGGGCAGAAAGGGCAGAAAATCAACAATAAATTTTGTGTTGCAAATAGTTTTACTCATTTGAAAGGTAAAAGGTTGTAAAGATTGTGAAAAAAATAGATTTTGTAAATAATTTTCGTTTTCTCAATTTTGTAAATAGCATTTTATATAAAAGAGTTTCCTAAATGTCTAAAAGATGTCATTTGTTCATTGTTTGTAAATAAATCATTAGTTGAATTTAATCATTTTAGTTCGATTAGCAGATCATTTAACTCGAGTACATGAATTATCGGGGATAGAAAGGAAACATTGGCTTCAATTTGCTAAACTACAAAACAGCAATGTGGTTCGTGTTTACGAGAAAGAGGCTGCTCCGAAAAAGCAATGAAACATGATTGTTGTGCTCTGCTGGTGAATGAACTGTTTTATTGCTGACTTGAAAATAATAACAATAATAGTAAACTGATACAATAAATAAAAAGATCTGAAATTTGAAATACCAATTACTAATTCACGATCAAAACGTTTTTAATTAGGCACTGTTATTTATGATTACCCTGAATAAAGATGATGATTCCAATGTTGAGAGCTGTTGCGTGACTAGCGGCGCGCGACACCCACGCGTGTGTTTGAGAAAATAAAGACACATGACTAGAAATGGCCCGTTTGTCTCCTTTTGTCCCTTTTGGCCTGGTTATGGCCTTTCTGGCCTGTGTTTGGCCTTTCTGACACTCTATATAACCTGACTATTTGCGAAAAAGATTATTATTCCTCGAAATAGGACGGAAAAAACTGATTTGTAATAGTCAGTCAAAGGATTAATTTTCATTCCTTTTCCTTTCAAATCGCTGTATATTTGACTCTTTTTGTTATTGACTTTTAATAAAGTTTTCAAAACGGTATCTCTCTTGTGGTTTTATTGCTAGCAATTATGAGTCGCGTGTTTTAATTGATCCTTGTTAAGTTATTTTGTTTTATAATAATACGTCAAGGTTGCTCCCTTGAGGTTTTTCCTGTAGAGCTAATTTGTATTCAACTTTGGGCTTGTGAACTCGCATAATTAACTGATTAACCGTGCGTGAAACGTTGGGACTTCAATACTTTTTCATGTCCTCGAGATAGATGGGAGAAAACTGTTCTGTAATAGTCAAACAAACTTGAAATAAAGCGTTTTCAGCTCCAATTTGTGTATGTTTTGTTTATATATACCCGAGTTTTAGCGCTAAATAAGAAGACGTAAACTAAATTGAAATAAAGACTTTTCAACTCCACTTTCTGTATGTGTTTTGTTTATGTATATCTGAGTTTTAGCGCTAAATAAGATATAGGAAGCCGTTTTCTCGCGTTGCTAGGTGATCACTTCTCTTATTCCTATTTTTCTTTTAATAGACGGTCCGAAAACCGGGCTCAAGTTACTTACCGGGCAAGTTTATGCAAGCCTATTGTTCCTATTGTAGTAGAGTGACGCTCATTAGTAAACCTATCCACTTCATTATATATGGAGGAAGACACTTAATTAGTATGCAGGAAATCCAAATTAGTATGCGGGAAGGCAGTGAGCAGGCTTTTATGCCGTTCAAACAATAAAAAATACGGCAACCAACCAGAATGCTTCGTCAAACGAGACAGCCAATGAGCGTCTTTCTAATTCCGGTCAACCAATCAAAACAACTATGACATCATAGTACCCCGGAATACATATGACATCATCTTCCGAAAATAACTAAAACCTGTCAAACCGGTTATACCAACCATGACATCATCCATCTAAAAATAGCACATGACCTTATCTTTATGAGATACCACAGCATTTTATTCATGAGATCAAGACAATAACCTATGACGTCAGCTACGTTAATTTATTCCCCCCCACCTTAATGAGATTCCCCCCCAAAAAAACCGAAGTAACCGGTGCGCCCTATACTACTCTCGATTAATTTATCGCTTTCAATGCCCGTTACAATTTTCTCTCTCTTTTATCCATCCTGAAAGTTAAACAGAAATGGCTTATTTTAAATACTTTTCAGTATTCTTTTCCTCAGCTGACTGCGTACTAAGAAACAGTGTATTTAGTTTCTTTAGAAATGCATTGATATAATTCGTAAGTTTTGCTCATCTTCGATTCAAAGCGTATTTTAATTGATTTCTTTGTATTTTCCGGAACTGTCAGTTGCGACTAGTTCGTAGTGTAACTGGATTATGCAAAACAAGTTTGATTTTACTGCTTCCATTTGAAATTATTGAGAAGATAAAAAATGAAAAAGGGCTCACTTTGTTGACCTTGTCATGCTTTCTTGCCACTGAAAAATCGCAGGGCAAATATCGACGCGGACAAAGTGTATTGTCTGATACCCGCCCTCCAATTTGCTACAACGTGATCCAAAACAGCCAACACATAAACCAAAAAGGAGCAACTCTAAACTGGTTAAAGATCAGTGAAATGTCTCTCATGATTCTCGTATGCATGCATATTTTTTGTTGGCAAGCTCATTTGGTAAAAAAGGGGCACCTTTTTAGGTAGAATCACCTTCATATTCTTTGCATGTGCTCGAAGTCGTTATAGAGTGATAACAGGCTACTACGTGACATTGAAATATCAGGCAAAACCCAGAACTATTGCCTGAAAAGTGTTTCCAACTTTAAAGTGACTCGATTCTACTTAATTTTGCTTTTGCAAACAACATAATTGGACTTTAGGCACTCATTCAATTGCGATAATATATTACACAAATGAAGAAATGACACAATTTGAAGGAGCACCTATATTTCGAGTCGGTCTTCCTCAGGGTTAATGAAAACCGTTACACACGAATTTCTAGCATGCGCTACTACAAATTCGAAGAATGCGCGCCATGACTGCAATAAAAACCTATCATGAGAAGGTACGAAAAAGCTAATTTTAAAGTTAAGGGGCGCTTACCAGCTCCAGCTAGTTTATAGATACTTTACTCAAGTAATCACGACAGATATTTCAAACTGAACAGCACTTAATCAAAAATCCTAAACTGGCAAGTGGCAAACTAGATTTGTATATTTACACTGAGCATGACCCAGGCACGAGGCCTCAGGATTATATTTCACTCGGCTGCTCTGGCGTCCCTTTTTACAAAACAAACATAGCCTCACCTAAGCGAAGATGGGCATCTGCTCTGTTGCCGTACAGTTCAGCTTTGAGATCTATGTCCTTGCACTGCACTTTAATCCCCTCCGTGTAGAAGTAAACGGCGTTGTTGTAATCTTTCTTACGGTATGCTTCATTACCTTCATTATTGTAAACCTCTGCTATAGCTAAAAATAAAGTTGATTTAAAAATGGTTTTAATGTATAAGAAAGAAACTTGGACTAACTGTAGACACGTTTTTAGCTCAATTCATTCACAAATAGGGTAAGCTTTGAAATTTGTTTTAGAAAAAGAGAGGAATTCACACGGTCAGTCAGTCAGTCTTATTTTCTGCGTAAGCCTGTTCAATTTCATTGGTCAGTTTTTCAGGGGTGGTATACTACACGTGTTATGAACTGCTTTTCATGTTTTACATGGTTCGGTCAATTCCGAGAGTACCAGTGTTCTGGACATTTGTCAAAAATAGCCATTTCGTCAAAAATAGCCAAATTTCACACGATGGGCTAAGCCGATAAAAGCCCTATATGTGTCTTAACAATGCGCGAAAATGGGCGTCCCCGTAGCTAAGATTGAGATTGTCTGTCCTTAATAACCTAATATATAACACTATATTGTCCTGAGCTACACTAATGTTGTGATCTGCACCCAGATTCCTCAACCGATATTTCAAACGAAAGCCATATTTTTCCTCGTGACAATTCTGTGGTGGCGATGACAAATTAAAATTTCTAGTCCCGAATATGTTTCGGAAGTTGCAAAATGTATACTTTTCGGGTGTAGTCATTCCCAGTACTCTCGCGATAGCAACATTCGGCTTTCAAAATCATTAAATGTTTTGCAAAACTGAAGCTAAGAATTGCCTTAATGATTATTTTTCTTTTGAGAAGCCGAGTTAAGTGGTCTAAAAATCTCCAGCTGCTAGTGAGCCTAGTTCTTCATAAGTGAGCTTTCACTTTAGGAGGCAAGGAACAAGCATTGAAAAAGGCTCGTAAGAAAGTTTGAAAAATATTCTTTCCCGCTTTGTAGAGGAAAATACTGAAAAGCGGTTTTTCTGCTGGAACGATTTTCATGCAGGCTGAAAGTCAATGGCTCCAATGCCACTGACGTGGATATCTTGGTAATACAGACCCCAATATGCTATGTTTCAAATAATTCTTACCTTTCAAAGTCTCGTCGTCGAAACTTGCTTTGTTTCCGCTCGCCGCCATGAATGCTGGAATTTTGTAAAAAGGTACATTGACTTTGTAAAAGTAGCAGACTTATATAAGTTTACAGTTGGCTTTCAACGTGAAGAATCATAAAAAGATAAAATTCGTTTTTGTTTGCACAGTTTGTATGGGCAGTCGTAATTGAACTTAATTAGTATGCTGATGAAAGGCTTCAAATCAGTTGACAGTGGGGTTTTGAGCGTCGTTTTGACGTCGATTTTGCCAGAAATCTCAATAACGCGTTTGTGACCGAGACAGCTGAGGTTCTCAGACTTATAGCCACATTTCAGTAAATTTATTTGTACATGAATTGACAGACAAAAAGCCCCTAAAGTGCAACTCCGCCATTACTTTTGAGAAGTCAAGTAGTTCAATTGGAGGACCCGAAGAGACAATCGTATGATTTAAATGTTATTGTACCAGTTTTAACTCACTTCCAAATTTGTTTCATTGGGGTTTGCAAGTACCACATTCGTACCCAGTGCAGCCCATTAATGGCAATAAAATGTGTCCTAGTCGATCCCAAATACTAAGCGTGTTTTCAAATTACTACCTAGGTTATACATAAAGTTACAGTTTTCCCCCGAAAGAAGCGAAACTCCAAAATAGTCAATCCAGAAAGTAACGACCACTTAAGGTTTCTTATTTAACAGTTAATGAAGGAGGCTGAGTATCTTATGAAGAATTATGGAGATCGAGGAGGGTGTTATCCGTCGAGGCCGTAGGCCGAGGCAGATAACGCCCTTCGAGATCTCCATAATTCATCATATGATACGAAAGCCGAACTCAATAACTGTTTTATTATTCATTCAAAATAATTCCTAGGTTAAAAACATAGCTAAAGCATGCTTATCTCCATCGATCCATCGATGTTCAGTTCATCTTCGATAGTGTACGTTTAGGTTTGTCCAGCTCCCCAAATATTCTCCAAATAGCAGATGTCGCCCTTCGAGTTGTCTTCTTGCTGTTTTTGCTATTTTTTGTTACTCTTGAAACGAGTGAAATGTCCGCCATTTTTTCAAGTTCACAACCAAATCAACTCAACCTCGTCCCCAGGTCTTCTCGGTTAACGGTGCCTTAACCTTCGGAAACGCTGCATTTTTGACGTCATTTCCTCGTTAAAGTCAAAATTATTCCAAATTTGGTCATCAGTAACTGGTTATGGTGAATTAAACGTGTGCTTTTAGCCAATCAGAATCGGGGAAATATTTTGAATGAATAATAAATTTAATTATTTCGTGTTAAGTATCGACCGAACTTTACAATAATATTTAAAATACATTTATAATAGCTAGCATAATAGACTTACAATGATCACTCAGTAAATTTCAACAAAGTTTTGCATAACAAAACCACAAACATAACATGGCACCAATAAAATAGTAATAATCCTTTTCTTAGAGCTAAAGTTAAATTTACTTGAAAACAGGTGAAATAGATCAAATAATAGCTTACCACATCCTACGAATATTAAAAAGAATTAATCTTAATAGCGACATAAATTTGTCCTTGACAAAAAAAAACAAAAAACAAAAAAAACAATGAACTTATTACTTTGTTACGGGTAAACATATTCCATCTTAGTTATTTAACTGCTGAAATATGTATACAATTCAGCGATGGCAAGTACAATGTTCTGAAAAACTCATGTACAAGTACAATTAACTCTGAACAAAATTTGGACTTCAGCGGAGAATGCAACAAGGACTAGCGTTAGGATAAATACTTATGGGCTGTATTATTTAACTTTAATCTAAACATGGTGAAGTACTGTTGTAGAGGAGTTCGTGTTTCATTGTTTTATCTGTTTCTCTACCTAAAAATAATTAACAAGTATTGTATGAGGCTGAGTATTATACAATGTATGAAAATTATACAAATCGAGGAGGGTGTCATACGCCGTGGTCGAAAGCGGTAAATAATGACAGATTTCTGTGGGTTAATACAATTTTATTGGTTATTTTATTTCTTTGTATCTTTGTTTCTTTTATATGTATTTTGTTTTTACTTATTACTCATTTTTATTTCTTTCTTCCCGTTTTTGACTCTTCCCCTACTGTATCCCTTAAATAAAGTTTTGCGGTGCTTGGCTACCTGCTACACAAGTTTCACTTTCTTGGATTTTTGCTGTGATCATTGTCCCAACTTTTTTTTCGCTTTCTCTGTTTTAGTTTTTATATCAATAAATCACGTGTCTGTGACGAAATTTGAGAGTCCGCTTGATACGGACACCCAGATAATAAGCACACTATGGCATGTCCCTTTGGTGTCCGAATTAACCGGGTTCTACTGTAACTAATACTTGTTAATTATATGAAATCTTTACAAAAATAGATAAATAAACAAACAAATAAAATAAACTCTAGACACAATCTGGTAAATTCTGACATACCAATCCTGAGCAGAATGAATAACCAACTTTAGGTCACAGGGAGTATACTTAACTTGACTTTATAACTTGTGAGTACTGGCCTTGAACACTTTGAACTACTGAACTAAGCTAACTGACTCTACTCTATATAATATGAGGGAATACGCCGTTTTTTTATGGTAGGAAATCCTATGATTCTAGTACAAGGTGTTTTGCGGTGTGACATAAGGGAAATCATGACGTAAATCCTTTGAGGTAGATTTGATTAAAGAAAAGGAAATAGGTTCCACTACGGTTATTTGAAAGTTGCATTGCGTAGCCCACGTGCCATATATTAAAATTCAAACATGACTCCGATGCTTTCTGTTAATATTTCAATGTTTAGTTTGGTTCTCTTTGTGCTCTCTAGCAAGTCTCTTCTGGGAATTGCGATACAATGGAGTCATGAACAATTGGCAAATTTTGACCCGAAAAGCCTCGGAGTCTTGTTAGAATTTTTAATATATCGAACGTGGGCTATTATGATACAATGTCACGTCTTTGTAAACCTGGTCACATATTTATCAGTTTTGACGTTTAGGAATTTGCAGTATATGCATTAACAATACTAACTTACAATAAAAGCCGTGAACGGCTCAAGGTGTCACTTTATAAAGGCACCCACTTTGATGAAACAGACTAATTACAAGGATGAAAAACTCTTCTGCACCTTACTTGCAAGATTTTCTCAACACCTGCTCAAATTTTTGTTCAAATTTAATTGTTTGCGTCCTAAAATGTTATATCTTAGAAGTGGTCAAGCATACTAAAGTTTACTATATGTATATGGAGACATAGAGACCACAGCCAAGGAAGAGCAAGAGACATAGAGAGAAACAAATGAGAGGGCAGACACGAATTAGAACATTTTTGGAGCAATCTACCGCAAGGAGGTCATTTTGTTTAGATTGTTTAAGCGAAACAGCAGCAGTTATGTAATCTAAGTACTTTCTTCGCGGATGGTTAATTTTTTTTCTGAATCAGTATTCTTTAATTCAGCACCCATCCATCCACTTCCAGGGAGCCCAGTTTATGATCTTCCCGTCGTTACAAATTTGTATTTCCCAACTGTGCTTATAGTAGTTTAGTTATAGAAAGTGTGACACTTAGGCTTAGGCCAAATGTCGAACTTTTTTTGGGACGAACCAAACTCTTATTCGGGTCGACCTTAATTGAGTCGAGATCGTCTGTTGGGTCAGACGTCAAACTTAGGACGCCTCGAACCAATCAACTGAATCAGACCAAAAAGCAGTTTTAATCAACTTCTTCCCAAACGCTGCTAAATTTACATTGTGATACAGATTTTGAATTTATTGGTTTAGTTCATCGCATGTAAAGATCGACGTTTGTCCCTGAGACAATCTTCATACGTTCCATCCGTTTGAAGCAGGCCGATAGAACGTGTTGCACGACGAACTTAACTGAGCCAGAAGCGGAACTCTTCATGAACTTAACGCAGTAAGTTTGGTTCGTCTCAATCAATCAATTTATTTGGCCTTTTTTCACATACAATAATTACACACACACACACACACACACACACACACACACAC